TTATCATCATTTGCATTTTAGTCATTTATTTTTAGTTTTAGTTTATTTCTTGTTTTGCTAGTAGTTTCGTAATAAACCAAACCCCCCATTTTTATTTTAATCTAATTAATATAATAAAATCACGGTTTATACCACACTCCCTGTGGGATCGACCCTTGCTCGCCACTACTACTAGTTAGTAGGGGTAAGTTAGGAAATATTATAAATTCAAATTTGCCGTGTAACGACGTGCGGTCAGACCCTCCACCATGACCAACTTTAAAGTCTCTCTCCTCAGCATTTTTCCAGAATTTTGGCACTTAGAAAACTCGGAGCTATTGAGAAGAGAAGCATAGCAAAAACCAGAGCACCCGTCTAAGGCAAGCCGCGCGCGTGAAGACCCGGGTGAAGGAGAGTTCGAACCTTAGCTTGTTCCAACCATTTTCTCTCGAGGCTTAGCACCTTCCAAGTATTATTTAGATTTTTCTAAGTCTTTAGAGCCCGTCTAACTCAACCGTTTAGCCCCCAAGTCGAGCCAAGTCCAAAGAGCTGCGAGTTAGCACGAGCTAAGGGCATCTAGCATCATTTCAAGTTCGGTGAAAGGTAAACTCGTGTTTTTCATTTTTCTTAGCTCTAACATGATAAATTAGGAATTATCATGAAGAAAAATGAGGTCATGCACATGCTTAAAGATGAGTTTCGAATTATTTAAGTTTAGGACCTTAAATTCGAATTTTATGGTTCATGCATGATTAGGCCGACTTTATAGCTCATTATCCCTCAAAAATCATGAATATGACATTGGTAAAAGATAGGCATGTTTTGAGTTCATTGGTTCAGCCAAGTTGATTGTGAAATCGAGCATATTTTCACCTCCGAGCCTAAGTATTATGCATGCGAGTTATAGCCATTGTCCAAGCCCCTATAGTCATGATTTTTGTGATAAGTATTCGGCCTTAAGTGATTTTATAAGTTGAGCAAGACTATTCGGTGACCTAGGGTCCGTACGAGCCATATCGACCCTACCGGACCAAGTCAAATGCAACCGAGGTCTCATAGCATTTCTTGGCATTTTTATGTGTCTTTGATCATAATATGTTGAGTCCATTTTCACCGGAAAAAGTAGCCGGAAGTCTGGCAAGGACCGGTCGGGGTCACCAGCCGCGCATGTAGCGCGCACCGTGCCCAGGCCGCATCTACAGAGGTCAAGGTCGCCTCTGTCTGTGCCCGCGTCCAGCACACGCGAGGTACCGTAGCCCCAGTACACGCGGCAGCGCCCAGCAGCGCCTGTCCGTGTCCGCGTGTGAGGTCTCGGCACCAGTCGCGCCCAACAATCTCTGGCAGTGCCCGGCAACGCTGTTCCAGTGCCAATGCGCGTGTCTCGAGCCCAATAGTTGATAATAAATGCCGCCAGTCTGGGATACACTCGATTCCGTAAGTAGGAGAAACAAACCTTTTTTGCACTAGAAAACAGTCCTAATAGTTGAAACGCATCACCAACGGGAGAGTTGGAACGCATTCCATATACTGTTTCATGATGAACAGGTAAATATTTATATTTGTATATCAAATTTATGTAATTTTAAAAGATATTTTAATTCATATTTATAAATTTATACTGTAGGGTACATTCATTAAAGGGATAATACGTTCCAAATATATGGGAGCATTTCGAGGTGTACTGAACGAAGACGAGGTGTATGCGATCAGCAACTATGTCGTTGAATTTAATAATGGGAAGAAGGATATCATAACCAACATATGGAAACTTGTGCTTCATGGAAGAACTCATGTTATCAAATATGTGAGATTTTCCCTCAAAATGTTGATATTTTCCCTCAACATTAGCAAGGAGCAGGAGATATTTATGATATTTAGAGTTTGATTATTAGAATTTTAATTTCATTCCATGTCGTTGAATTCCGAATTTTATAATAAATTTTAGTGTTATTATATTTGTTGTCGTTATAAAATGTCGTTGGATATTTTTTTTTTATAAATGTCGCATGAATGAGAAAATTTGAACATTTTATTTTTGAGTTCTACTTTATATTAGTTTAAAATTGGTAGAATGCCATGATACAAGATATAAATTAATACAAATTTTAACAAATATTTCAAATATAAGATTATATGAAAAAAAAATTTACGGAATTAACAATAACTGAATTAAGTACATTTAATAGATTATATTGCGTGATTTTTTAATAATTTATCATAATGAATTATATTCATAAATATGAATATGAATTTTGATTATAATATTTATATTAACTTGTGTTATATATAAATTATTATTATTAAAATTTTTACGTAAAAAGATGGAAAGATTTGTTTGACGTAAAATTTTGACGTAAAATATTATAATATTTGTTTGACGTAAAAAATTTTTCAACAATTTTTTTTGTATCACATTGGTATGGACAGAAATTTAATTGAAAGATGTTAATTATGTAACGATGCTATCACACAAAAATCTCCACTTCTTAACTACTTTGCACTTATCTTATCACCATACATGATAAGGTTGAAAATTATAATTTGATTTCAAAATTGTTTTAGGTTTTTATTGACCGAGTATCACTCTTTGAATTCCATTTGAATTCAAAATTGGTGTATTTTTTATTTGAACAAAAAGATTTACAGAATTAACAATAACTAAATCAAGTACATTTAATGGATTATATTGCGTGATTTTTCAATAATTTATCATAATGAATTATATTCATAAATATGAATTTGATTATAATATTTATTTTAATTTTTGTTATATATAAATTATTATTATTAAAATCTTGACGTAAAAAGATGGAAAGATTTGTTTGAATTAAAATTTTGACGTACAAAATTTTTGACGTAATTATATTATTTGTTTGATGTAAAAATATTTTCAAGAATTTTTTTTTATTACGTTGGTATGGACCGAAATTTAATGGAAAGATTGATGGTGATGGTAATTATGTAATGATCCTATCACACAAAAATCTCCACTTCTTAACTACTTTCCACTTATCTTATCATCATAAAAGTTTCGGTCCATACCAACGTGATAATCATTTGTGTTTGGTTTGAATTCAATGTCATTCATTTAAAAAACATAACAAATGCAGAGTACTACGGTGGATAAATCTAGAGTTAACAATCTGATAAATCACGTTTTACTAATCTTATCATGATATTAGAGTTTGAATTTATTGGAACTCTGAAATTAAAATCACGTGCAATGAATCTTATCAAGAGAGATTAACGTGAGTCTAACTAATCTTATCATCTAATGGTTATCTACTTTCATCCCATGGCTATAAAATAAACGTCGAAGCCTATATCACGTATCACAAAAATCTCACACTACAATTTCACATACAAACAGAAAAATGGCAAGAGCATGGGGAAACATCAAGCAAGTAACAAGGATCAACAGGCCAATGCTCAAGTTGAGGGTGGTTCGAGTTTTCCAAAGGACTAATCAATACTCATCCTACAAGATCATCCTTGAAATTGTCTTTCATGACATTGAGGTTTAATTCATAATAAAAAATAATGATTATCCATTTTTCTCATCATGTTAATTATAATATCTAATATCTAATATTATTTTTATTTTTTTTTTTTCAGGGAGGTCGAATTACTGGAATAGTAAAGCAATCAACATCCCAACTTTCATCAATGAATTCGAAGAAGGTGCTGTCTATGCATTTCGAAACTATCAAGTCGAGAGTAATATCGGAATGTATAGACCCACCATTGATAATTCGTGCTTCTCTAATAATATGGGATGAAGCACCAATGATGCACAAGCATTCTTTTGAAGCTGTACAGACATCGCTGCAGGGTATTATGAGAGCAATTGATCCTTTGAACTTGAACAAAGCGTTTGGTGGGAAGCCGATTGTTTTTTGTGGAGATTTTCGACAAATCCTTCCAGTCATTCTAAAGGGTAGCTGTCAGGACATAGTTAATGCTGCCATTAATTCTTCTGACATATGGAGGAGTTGTACTGTGCTTAGGCTTACGAAAAAATGCGCCTTCAGGGACTTGCTAATTCGGATGAATGTGATGAGCTTGCACGGTTTGCAGTTTGGATAGCCAACATCGGAGATGGAACTATCAGAGGGTTGAATGATGGATGTGCACCTATAGACATACCCGAGGACATTTTGCTTCAGCCATCTGATGATCCTATTGCTCAGATAGTTGAAAGCACATGTCCAATGTATAAAGAGGCACCCGACGATCCAAGTTATTTGAAGGATAGGGCTATATTAGCGCCTACGTTTGATGTGGTCGAGTCTATCGATCAGTACATGACATCATTGAATTTGTTGGATGGTCGTATGTACTTGAGCTCTGATAGTACTTGCAAATCGGATTCTAATAATGATTTTTTGCCTGATCTCCATACTCCTGAGTTTTTTAATAGTATCAAGTGTTCCGGAATACCGGACCATGAGTTGTATTTGAAGATTGGAACTCCAGTCATGTTGTTGCGGAACATGGATCATTCTATGGGTTTGTGTAATGGGACACGATTGGTAGTGACAAAGCTATCGACTCACGTTCTTGAGTGTACGATACTCAGAGGAGATCATGCTGGTGATAAGGTGTTGATTCCAAGAATGACCATAACTCCTTCTGATGTTAGAATTCCTTTCAACTTCTAGCGGCGACAGTTTCCCATTATAGTTTCTTACGCCATGACTATAAACAAGAGGCAGGGACAATCCTTATCTCATGTTGGCTTATTTCTTAAGAAACCAGTGTTCAGTCATGGTCAGTTATATGTTGCTATTTCCCGTGTCACTAAATGAAAAGGTTTGAAAATCTTAATTTGTGGCGAAGATGACGTGTCAAAGAATCAAACTCATAATGTTGTATATAGGGAAGTGTTCAATAATATATGATTTTTTCAATTTAATGATATGTTTATATGTCTATTATTATGATCATGATCATTGGCTGCATAACACAATTTATATACAAATTTGTTTTTTAAAATCAGTCTAGATAATAATATCCCCGTGCATCGCACGGGTGACTACTAGTTTCAAATGAAATAGAGGATATTAAAGGACAGAGATCTGAATTTTGTCAGCTACCACTTTGCTCACGTTCCCGATTTGGCTCCAAACGAACATAATCTTATTTGCAAATTACAGCAACAGGAGCAAGAACAAATCAAGAACACTTGACTGGCAAATGAAGACAAAGAAAAGGAAAAATCAAGCTGACCAATTTGTACAATTGTTTTTACTTTCTCTTATAATTTCCTATGCTAATCACCGCCCGTCGCCAAGCCGTGCCTTCATCAGCTAGTTTTGCAGTCAACGGGTCGTACGTTCGCCTACAATTACTTTGTCTCCTTCCCTTTCTCAACTTATCAAATAACTATCAACATCCTCGTCAGCATTTTGAGGCCCAATCGAGAGCCTTAGGTGATCCTCGGCCCGGCACAAGCCCAACCTACACAACCCCAATGTTGTCTTCTCCTCCTCCCGAGGCGCCACCTGGCAAACGAAAACTTCAAGGGCTTCTTTCATCCATGAATGAGCGCATGTTTCTTTAGCTTCGTTCACCTTCATCTGAAAAACCACAACATTTCAAAAACACCATTACCATTCAATTAGGATTTCTAAAGACTTTATAATATCCTAGTGTATTCAATTTAGATTTGTTAAGACTTTTAAAAAGTCTTAAGGTATTCAATTGAGATTTTAAAAGTCTTACAAAATTTTGAGGTATTTAACTATTTGAAACTGAGATTTGTTAAGACTTTTTAAGATTTGGTGAGATTGTTAAAAGAAAAAAGCTTATACGAAATCTCACTTCAAATCTCAACTCCAAACTTGTAATTTCACACAATTCTTTCAAAATTTGAAAATCTTAAAAGTCTCAAAGTTTTAAAATTATCAATATGTCACTTGAAATTTCAATCGAATACACCCCAAGCTTAAAGTAAAGTCCAAAAACATATTAAAATAGTAAATCTTCACTTTAGTTCTTATAAGAAGATAAAGGTTTTGAAGCTCGGACATACCCAAACTCGTCGGCGAACATTTTTCTCAGGCCAAGTGTCTAATTCCTCGGTGACCAACAAAGGGAACATTGAGCCCTCGTGATACTTCTCTTGGCTTTTGCTCTTAAATCGCCACTCACCTAATTTTTCCTGTAAGTGAGAACAGCAAAGGACTTAGAAAATGCCACAAGAAAGGACTAATGATATTATCACAATGATTTTAATTAAATAACAAAATACATACCCCAAGTAAGCCGATCACGCCTGCTTCCTCTAGCGTCTCTCGTGAGGCAGCTAATTCGATGTCTTCATCGAGTTCCCATCCACCCTGATGAATTTTATAGCAAATATTTATATAATTATATAAATTTTAAGTGTTAATGTTAAATAATATCGGATATCATTTCAACATATTTATGTACCTTTGGGAACATCATTCTTGGACTTTTCTGTGAGCTGATTAGAAGGACTTCTATATCTTCAATAAGGGTCCCATGGATTAAAGGGGATTTGTTAGTTTTTCTTATTCTATAAGGTATACATCTGCGTAGTTTCAGAAAACACAAAGAGAAATTAGGCGCAAATATTATTATATTAACAGTAAATAAAACCTAATGAAAATTATCCTAAATCAACCTTATGCAGTTCACCAGAAATTTCATTGATAACAAACGAAAATCCGATTCTTGAACTATTATTAAAAAAAATAAAAATAAAAAATAAAAACAACAACAACAAACAGGTATACCAATGTAAATAAAAAAAAAAAAAAAAA